CTACAAAAAAAAAAAGATATTTTGATTATTTTGATTATGAATAATATGAAACTTGTGAAACTTGTTTATTATGTAAGATGGCTAAAACACTCTTTACTTGAAATAGTAAAAAACTAATGAATTTTTAGATCTATTATATACAAGTGTCTGTAGACTAATAATGATTCATGCCATAAATGGATATACATGCTTCATTATATTTATTGACAATCATTTGAAATATGATTATATGTATTTAATGAAACAAGTCATTTGAAAAGTTCAAAGACTTTAAAAATAAAATTGAAAAACAAATTAGAAATAGTATCAAGATACTTTAATTAAATTGAGTTGAAGAATACTTGAGCTAGGAATTTCAAGGGTATCTAAAAAAGAATATAATTCTTTCATACTGAACATATTTTGTAACACCATAACATAATAAAGTTCTTAAAAGGAGAAATCATATCCTATTGGATATGATGCAGTCCATTATAAGCTATGTAGATTTTCAACTTCTTTTTTAGAGCTATGCTCTACAAATTATTGCTTGCCTTTTAAAATAGAGTTCCAATAAAATCTACTAATAAGATTTCATATGAGATATAAAAAAGTAATATATCAAACTTATCATACTTAAAGATTCAAAGATGCATTACTTTTGTGAATCGTACCATATCTAGAAAGTTTGGAGCTAAATTAAATTATTATAAGTTTATGAGATATCCTAAAGAAATAATTGGATATTATTTATACAATCTTATTAAGCAAAAGGTGTTTATCTTAGAACATGCTACATTCATATAAATAATTTATAAGGATTAGTAGAAGGAAAATAAAACCTGAAAAAAGTTAAAAAAAAAACTATAAACTAACATCTAATTAGATCTAAATGTTAATATATAATATTAGATATTCAACCTAAAGCTTAAAAATACAACCCTATAGATTTGGCAAGACACATAATGTATTAATAAAATATGAATTTTTCATGAAAGCTAATAATAATAAGTTGTTTATACTCAATGAGCTTAATAACCATATGCAAATAATGTCTAATATTGATTTTATAAAAATACAACTTTATAGATTTGGTAGGACACATCATGTATTAATAAAATATAGATTTTTTAAGCTAATAATAATAAGTTGCTTATACTTGATAAGCTTAATAACCACGTAAAAACAATGGCTAATATTTTAATTAAATAAAATTGCTTTAGGGCATGAAATTAGAAATGGATTTCATGTATATCAACAAGGAATAAACCTTAGTTAATTCACCTGAATGGATAAAACTCATTGGATATAAATAATTTTTTTTTAAAAAAATTGATATACATGTCAATATATAAGTGTACAAAGCTATACTGGTTGCTAAAGGTTAAACACAAAGACAAGAAGTTGAATTTGATGAAACTTTTTCATCTGTAGCTATGATAAAATTTATAAAGATTCTATTTATTATAGTTGCATACTATGATTATGAAATTTGTCAAATAGATATCAAAGGTGCATTTCTTAATAGAAATCTTCATGAAGATTTGTGCATGACACAACCTGAAGACTTTTAATCTAAAGAATTTGCTAATAATGCATGCAAGCTGCAAAAATTCATTTATAAACTTAAACAAGCTTCATGAAGTTAAAATATTTGGTTTGAAGAGACAATCAAATAATTTAATTTCATATAAAATATGAATGAACTTTATGTTTATAAAAACATCAGTGGGAGTGGAGATATTTTCCTAGTGTTATATATAGATGACATATTATCACTCCAATTAACAAAAAATTGGTTATGCAAGAATTTTTCTATAAAGAATATGACAAAAACAAGATATATACTATGAATAAAGATATATGAAAATAGATTTGAAAGATTTCTTAGATCGTCTCAATCCATACACATGGATAAGATGCTAAAATAATTTAGCATAGAGGAATCCAAAAGTTGTTAGTTACATATTTTGTATAGGATTCATCTTTCCAAGGGTTTGTGCTCTAGAGAATCTTGCAAATCCTTTTACCAAGACATTATCCAAGCAAAAGCATGAGCACTATATACAGTGATAAGACATCAAATACATGAATGATTGGCTTTATTGCAATTGGAAAAGTGTTAGTGCATATTCCTAATAGCCAATCAAGTATTTATATATAGCACTAACTTTATTCATGTAATAGATATATTTTTTTTATATAATTTTATAAATGTATTGTTTATTTTTAATATTCATTTAAGTTTAATTATTGAGTTTAGAGTAAAGATAAAGTCTTTGGAAAAATGTTTTACAAAGAAAATTAAAAAATTGTTATAATTGTAAGGATTCATATTTCATCAAAGTATTATTTCTAAATATTTTTTATCAATGATACTAAAACTAAAAATTAATAAGAGTTGTTAAGACCAATACATATTATATTTTTTCTTTTATAAAACAAATCAACTGTTTTTATAAGTTAATGTATGAAAAATACTTGAAACTAATATGTAGATACTTGTTAAATGATAAATACATTAAATTAACTTGTATAAAAATTCCATATAATTAAAAAAAGTTCATTACCTTAGATAAATTATAAAAAATATTTCATATATTTTCAAATAGAAGTGATTATGAAATCCTTACTTAATATGAATTGAGATTTAAAAATGATTTCAAATTATATTTACGTAATCAATAACTATCATGTTAAAAACAAATATAATATGACAAAGTAATTACAATCCTTGTTTAAATATCTAAATTGAAACATTCAAAATGAAAACATAATAGTTATAATAGGAAACTAATTATTAAAAGACTAAGTCAAATCACATATGATTTTTTTAATATTTAAAAAATTATGACATGTTGTTAGATATTGCACTTGATCTTCAAATATAAATTAATAAATTTATTGAATTGATAATAAATTAAATTATTTAATTAATTTAATCCAATTGTAATTATAATTATGATTTATATTTTTGTCAACTTATTAAAAATCTATTGAGTTATATACATTAAGAATCATGGGTAAGAAACTAAACTGTGATTATTAATTAAACATAACTTAATTATAATTAAGTTTTAGAATTTAAAGACTAAAGTGTAACTAATATAATAGGGTTATAATTTTTGACATAAAAAATCAAATATGGACTTGATTACATAATCTTTTAATAATTATCCTAAAACAGATTATGTAATGTTTTTAATAGGATAAAGTGATATTTTATCATTAATAAAAATATCAGGTTTTCTATATATCTATAATGTCATGTTTAATATGTTTTTAAGAATGATGTTATATATAACATTACAATATGTTATACAATGCATAAAAAAAAAAAGAGAAATATCTAGTTAGACATAACAATTCTTTTTTTTCTTAAAAAAAAAGAGTTTATGAAATTTCTATATGTTTTTAAGAATGATGTTATATATAGCATTACAATATGTTATACCATGCATAAAAAAAAAGAAGAGAAATATCTAGTTAGACATAATAATTCTTTTTTTTCTTAAAAAAAAAAGAGTTTATGAAATTTATATTATGGAAGATTTGTGTGAATTAATATTAAATGCTAGATAACTTAATAACTTCTTTTTTTTTTTGACAACTTAAAACCTATTTAATAGTATGACAATGATTATTTTTAAAGTATTTTGTGTTTGAAATTACATTAAAATAATATTTTTTTTTAAAAAAATTATTTTTAATATTAGCTTGTTAAAATAATTTGAAAATAAAAAAATTAAAATACAGATAAAAATTAAAATTAAATTATTAAAAAACATTTTTAAAATATAAAAATAAAGATTTAATCAAGCCCTTGAAAATTTAACCAAATCTAAAGAAAAAATTGTTTTCTTATATTCTTTCTCCAAACTCTAAATATTCATGATCTGTCTACTATGATCCATAAAAATTTTAAAAAAATAAAATTATAATTTTAGCTGCGTAATGTTCTTTCGAAAAACGGATGGGGACATAAAAAAAAATACCATATAGTTTGATTTTTCTTTTTTTTCCCTTTCTATTTCAATCTTTGAATGGGCAGACCGGCCCCTACAGCTCTCCCTCTCATATTCGCATATGATCACGAGGTTAGCTGTCAATTCAAGTGGACTGTCAGATGAATATCACCAGATGGCAATCTGTGATTAGCTTAGACATCAAATCCCACGTGCTGGGGGGTTTCCATCACGTGGCCTTGTGGGCATCACAGATTTTTTTAATGTTTTGTGCTATCGGACGGATATGTATCTCCAAAGGTTCCTTCCTCCTCCCTCACTTTTACGCCGTTGGATGCTATGGTGGTGCTTGTCACATCCGCAGATAATGGCTTTCTCACTTGCCAAAATGCGGAGAAAATTAACATATCAGAAAAAAAAATCCAAATAGCATATATTTTTCAAATGATATGATGTTGAATCGAGATATTTAATTAAAAGTTATATTTTTAAATTACGATATTAATTAAATGTTTTGGTTAGTAACTGTTTTAACATTATATCATAGTTTATTATTATAATATTAATTAAATCCAAAATCAACTGATTAATGAGTTTGTAAAAGTCAATTAAAGTGGATGATTAATTGACACTAAAATAATAGAGAATAATTATTGTGTAAATAATGATTATTTAAGATTTTAATTGAAGTATTTTTTTTTAGTTTTAAATTGTATAATAATATTTCTTAATTTATAAAATAAATTTTAAAAAAGATTTATAAAATTATAATTTTTATATAAAACAGGAGATTAATTCATATAATTAGACTAACCAAACAACCAATTCAACCAAATAATTAATAATAAAATTATATATTAATTTTTCACAGTTTTAAAATATAATATGTTGAAATATTATTATTCTGAAACACAACAATTACCTTATTACATTTAAAAACATTTTAAAAATATAATATAAAATAAAAATATGTTATTTCACATTTTTTTTAATGTGTTATACTATTTTTTTAATTTTTTTTAAAAAAACCCAAAATGCATGCCCTCTTGCCTCTGTGTTGTGTATCTCTCTTCCGCCCTCTATAAATATCACATGGTACTTGGGAAGTTCGTCAAGGAAGAACAAGAGATGCCAGTCTCATTGTATATAATACTACTAGTTGTAGAGAGTGAGTGACAACTAGTAGCTAGCAGTTGTTTAATATAGTATGATAAACAGGCTGCAAATCATACAGGCATATTATGAATGCCAATATGCTGCCTTTATCTGCATTTGCACCTGCATCTTATTGCTTTTGTTTCGTTTTTTACTCCACAAACAAAATCAAGTTCTGTCGATACAGTATGTGGGGCAATTAGATATAGAGTGTTAGATATGGAAACTAACAAGCTTAGTTGAGGTGCAGGTGCTAGTGCAGGTGAATGCCATTTTGGTAATGTTTTCACTCACATACATACACAGTAGTGCTGCCTCTTTTCTTTTCATCTGTCTGTGGTTAATTTGCAGTTTCATGGTGGCAGAAATGTACTGGTAATCATCAAGGAGAAAGGGCAAGAAATATTCTTGTGCTTATTAATTAACTATGAGAGCAAATTAATGTGTCTTCAACAACGACAGGCCATGTATAAAATTCTTTATGCAGGTGTTTGGTGTTTATAGAGAAGATGATGAATTGAAGTGATTGGGCGGCCACAATTCGATGGATGTGGAAGAATATTTCAAGGGTTTTCCAGTAATCTTTGAATTAAGTACTTGGAGGACAGATCATCCATGATCAATATGCAAGGCGCCTGTGCTAGATATGTAGATCTCTTGATCTTCCATTTGAAGCTAGGGTTTTCAAGGTAATATATATAGAAAGTACATTCCCTCTCTGCATCCCTCCCCCGCTCCCTCTCTCTCACTGTCTCCCTCTCTCTCACACACAGGCAGTACCATTGCCAAATAGGAGGAACATCCATTCTAAGTTCTAATGTTGACAATGGTTGTTCTACATTTAAAAATCTCCATGATTGGAAGAAAAGTCGAGCACAAACATTTATGATTTTGTTTTGGGTGAAAGAAAAAAAAATATATTCGATTTAATACCTACAAGACGGGATTCAACAATGTAGTATTAAATAGTAGAATCGACTCAACAAGCTCGATCGAATTAAGCACAAAAAACTTATAATCGGCTAATAAATTTCATCTCGAATCTAATTAATGCATCCCTTTCTGCCCATGTCATGTTTAGAGTCACGAAATAAACTTAATTATATAAAATACACTTGTTAAAAAATAAAGTCGCTTTAATTAGATTAATAGCATAGAAGTTCAAATTATTAATGATAGAAAAAGACACTCTACTCGACCAATCTTCATCAGCGTTTATATATGTCGAGTTTATATTATATAAATACTTTATTCATTACTTAATAAAAAAAAATTAAATGATTCATATTTATCAGGTTTCAGATATTCATTACCAAAATATTATTTATTATTCAACGTAAAATAATATATATTTCAGATAAAGTTGGATTTCACAAATCCTACGAGAACAGCAAGCAGTGAATGATTGGATGATATAGAATATTTTTATCAAGTGATTGCATAACTCCAAAAACTAGGGTACAAATCTGTTTTCATTCATGCTGCCTCTTAGAAAAGCGACTAGAAGACTTGATGAAATTAAACACCTTAAAAGGAGGGAAAGGTACAAGTATTAGTCAGCAATGGCGAGCTTTAATGATTTGAATATCAGTTTACAAGTGAGAACAAAAAGGGATTAGACATAAATGATGGTACATAATTGGCTGATTAATTACCCACAATTAATATTTCAAAGATATTGATTATATTCGGTTGATAAGCAAGTTTGAAAATATCTACCATCGAGGAATGAAAACAATACTAAATTTTATGATCACAGACAACTCATGGAGGCACCCTATTGCTCTTGCTGTCCTCTTTGCATCCGAGAAATTTCTAATGGCCTCTGCACTCTACCATCTGATCGATAAAAAGTTAAGTGAATAATATTCTCAGCTGCTTTCCTACATTGCTCATTCAAGCTAGTCGCCTAAGCGAAACATTTGACTTACTGATGTATCATTTCATGTTCTTTAGTTAATGTGGATCGAAAGTCTTATAACTTGAAAGCAGTATGTGGAAGATGCAGGTGGAGAAAATATTGACAACTCTATCAATAAGATCACCTGCAACACCTCAAAACCTGATGACTTGGAAGAATTGCATGCAATATTATGTGTAAGTTCTGTTTATGGCTAAAGATTACAGAGTTATTAAGCTCGACCCTAAACTGATGATTTAGCCTTTGTCCCAGAACAAATTTTAAATAAAATTGTATGAGAGTTTAGCTGATGTGAGTCATCTCGACAGATCAACATGTTTTGTTCATCACTTTTGCAAGGGATTGAAGAATCCAAGCTTTATGTGATTGTTTTCTCTGAAAACTATTCATCGTCCAAATGGTGCTTGGACGAGCTTGTAAAGATCCTGGAATGCAAGGAAATGAATGGACAGACGGTTAATCTACCAGGTCAATCCATCTCATGTAAGAAATCAAACTGAAACTATTGTGGATTCAATCGGTGAACATGAACTATTAACAGAAAAGATGGAAAAGGTGAAGAAATGGAGAGCTGCCTTGAAGGAAGTGGCTACTCGTAACTGGGTGGGATTCGCGGAACATTAGATAAGACAAATACTAGGATAAGTAAGATAGGAATGCTAAATGAGCCACATACATGTTTGCTGTGATTTACACACACACACACAGACACTAATTCTGTGGATTCATGTTAAACACTTAACATTGTCCAACTAATAAGTAGAGGACATCAATTAATACTAGCTGCTTGTTAAAACTCAGGGATTTTGCCTATCAATGCGATCAAAACAGTTGCTTCAACTATATATACAAGTAGTACATGGCAGTAGATTGTGCATTAATATTACAATTTGCTTAAAAAGGCCCAGAAAACACTTTATTCTTGTTTTAAAACAGTACTGTTGCTTTGTAGTTTGCTAGTGATAAAGGTGGATTGATTGTGAGAGGAAAAAGAAAATCGTATAGAGATCTTCGGGTGAAATTCTCTTCTCCATTCTATGTCATCTCTAGCTTACCTTCGAGCAAGTGTAAACCAAATTCACATGTATATTGATGAGGCCATAGAAAAACTAAAAATGTGTTTTTTAGGTTGAAGTGAATTATAATTATAGAGAAATTGAAGTTTTTGTTCAAGGAAAGACCTACAAAACAAAGGAAAGTCTTCTTAAATGATGATGAAGAAAACAAGCCTTATAAAGCTGTGTATTTAGTGCATAGAAAAAGTTAATAAATTATATTGAAAGCAAGTTACCATGTCTGTAATTTGATTACAAAGGTCAATTAATCACTTTATACTCGTTAAAAAACAGTACTACTGCTTTGTAGTTTGTTAGTGATCAAGATGGATTAATCATAGAGGAAAAGAAAAATCATGTGGAGAACTTGGGAAGAAATTCTCTTCACCATTCCATCTTCGTCCTCTCATATCTAGCTTAGTTCTATACAAGTGGGAACCAAATTGACATGTATCTTGATGTGTAGGTCTCGAGGCATTTAATTAGAAGGGGTGAATAAAGTGTTCCAAAAACATACAAACACTCATGGTAAATATAAAGGCAAAAGTACAGGGATAAGGGAATACATGCACATTATAACAGTTTGGCATTTACTGCTTACTGCACTCCCGGCCCTCTTGGGCTTTTATTATCACACACGACCTCTTTCGTAAGTGAGACCATACCTTTTATAACTAAAACTTTGTTACAAGTTCAAGATTTAGTGTTTAAAATGCTTGTCTTGTTTTCCCTAGGTAGCAAAGAGATGATAAGGTTATTTTAAATTTAAATATTTGTGTACAAATAAGATAATTTAAATTTTAGTGGAAGGTTTATACACTTTTGCATATGAGATAAAGATAAATTTAAACAAAGATAAATTTTAACTCATAAATGAGTTTAACAGGATCTTCTACATATTAGAGAAAATTATCTTGTATACTATTTATCTCGAGGTATTATATCTAGCATAGTTGTCTGGTTTACCGGTTATCCCTGAAAATTATATCTGTTATAATTAACTAGTTTATTACATACTATTTAGTTTATCAAAAGTCTCAAGAATGATATATTGTATGATTATTTAGTTTATGAGAGGTTTTAAGCTTTTTATTAGGTGTGAATACAAAGTGTTTTAAGGCATTTTAGAGATAATTTTTTAGAGTGGTCTCATGAGGATAACTTTTTAAGATTGCTTCTTAGGGTATAATTAGTGGTATAATTAGTAGGTTTCAAGAGTTAAATTATTCCAAACTTAAGTCACAATAAATATAACATCTAAAACTAATCTAGAAGAAAAGATCCCATTAATGCAAGTTAACGTTATGCATAACTTCAAGACATATAAAGAATCCTTAATATGATATAAATGATAATAAATATATATCAATATAAAATTAAAAGAATGATTAGTAATCAAGTGATGGTATGATTCATCAGAATTAGTAGCAATGGGTACCATTGGGCTAACATTATAAGGTTATGAAAAAACCTCTCCTAAAGTTTTTTTTTTTTAAATTGAAGTAGATTGTAGTTATAAAGAAATTAAGGCTTTTGCCCAAGAAAAAACTTGCAGATCAAAGGAAAGTTCCCTAATACGGCAATGAAACCTCTAATATGCATCATTTAAAAAATCATACAAGATATAAATTTATGAAATCTAGAGTATGAAAATCTAATAAGTGCTTGAGGAGCAAAAGGCTTTAGAAATACTTAATGTTTTCATAAAAGAGCTATAAAATAGCAATATGACCTTATATAGAAGGGTTTGTAAAGCTTACGAGGTTTGGAAGAAAAGAAACTTTATTGCTCACATTACGCAACCAAGTAGTTTGAATGATGATATCATGTGAGAGTTCAAAATGTATGACAATACTAAAAGAAAAGTTTGGAGGTTCATCTTTGACCAAAATTAGATCGATCTCTCGCTATCAAGTTTGACACTTATAAGAAGCAACCAAAACATATAATAAAAAATCATTTAAGATAAATATCAAACATGATTAGTGAGCTAAAAGATATTGGTTATACCTTAATGAACGAGCAATAATTAGTCTAATTTGTCATGTGCTCTTTACCTTATAACTAAGAGCATATGAAGATGTGTCTAACCCATAATAAAAATATAAAAATGATAAAGGATACAATACGACATCTTGAGTTGGAAAAAAGATTATTTTAAAGACAACAAATCTAGAACCAATATGTACATGATTGGTTTTAGTTTATAAGGTATAAGAAAAAAAATGTAAAAATCAAAATAGATCTCAGTATAAGCAAGGTAAAGGGAAAGTCACTAAGAAGCAAATATTTAATCTAAAAAATATAGATGTTTTTTTAAGAAGAAATGAAGAATGTCGTAAAAATCAAGTGTTTAAACTATGCCAATAAAGGATGTTTTGCTCGTCATTATATCAAGCCCAAAAAGATAATATAATTTATTGTATTTATGAGTACAATAAATGTCTATAGTTCTGTTTTTCTAACTGGATCCAATCCTTTATGGAGTTTAGACTCAAGAGCCACTCACCATATAGCAAAAGATAAGGAAGCTTTTATTAAATATTGGTCAGTCCTATATAGAACACAATTGATATATATATAATAAACAACTAAAGGTGAAAGAGATTGGTACATGCAAGGTAGTCATGCATGAAGGACAAATCTTATTTCTATATGATGTATTATATGCTCCTAAAATTCATTATAATGTAGTTTTTATGTTAGTTTTACTAAAAAAGGTGCTAACTTATCATTAAGAATAAGTTTTTATGGTACAGGATATTTATTGGATGCTTTTATTGTATTGGATATTTATTTTAATCTTAGTAATATATGTTTTTTTTTCTTATTTGCAACTTTTATTAATTATGATAATGATATGACTTTGTGGCATGCAAAGTTAGGCTATATAAACCAATAACAAATGAATAATCTGGACAAACAAGACTTATTTAGAAGCGTTGGAAGAGTAGATTTGTTTATTTATGAATATTGTCTAACTAGAGTTAAATTTTCATTAGAATTAATTAAATAATTATAACATTTATGATCAAATGATAGGGCAAGGCATGATGATGTATATTCATTACATTTATATATAATTTTATTTAATATGGTTATGTTTTTTGATATCTAATAAGTTAAAAGCTTTAAATTATTTTATGAAATATATGAGCCTTGTTAAGAATTAATTACACATAAAAATAAGGACTTTGAAAACCAATTAAGAAAGTAAGTATTTATCTAATTAGTTCATATAAATATATGATGAAAAAGGAATAGAATGATAATTGATTATTTCTAAAATTTCATAACAAAATAAAGTTCATAAAAAAAGAAATGAAACCCTACTTGAAATGATTAAGTCAGTGATAACACAAGTAAATTTGTTTATCATTTATTTCGGTGATGCACTATTAACTACCATATATATACTTAATCATATACCCTCTAAGTCTTATAACCTATTTCGGTGATGCACTGTCAACTGCCATATATATACTTCATCATATACCCTCTAAGTCAATTAAACTATGTTGTTTGAATTATGAGAAAAATGTAAAAGTGACTAGAGTATTTTTCTAATAAATATGAATAATAGGTCCAATAAGTAAAAATTGTATTTTTGTAAGATATTTTGAGCACTCAAAGGGACATGTATTCATAGGTGAACAAGAAAGTAAAAATATAACTAAATTTGAATAACAATATGTAATATTTTTAGTGAATGATTTTTCTAAATAGAGAAAAGTAGGTTAATATCTGTCTTTTTATAAAACTCGAGACACCATAATGCTTTTTCTATACAAATACAAATGGGTTCATTTTCTAGTGGGAGATATTTAAGGGATGATAAATTAGTTTCAGCTTAAGCTTAATCGCTACCATGATGAATTCATTGATGATTGTTAGTTTAAATGAGAGTAATATTATCTTTGATTTATCAATGAATCAATCTTAGTTACAATGAATTGGTTGTCATAACATTCATTATAGTTTTAAGATTGGAAGGGAAGCACTAATTGTTACTCCATAAGATAAAAAGAAGCCAAGAAATATAAATGAAGTTCTAACATGTCCTAATAAGGAAAAACATATTAAATCTATTGGTGAAATCAAACCAATTTTAAAAATTAGTTAATTTCCTAAAAAAATACGAAGTCATTAAAAATAAATAAATTCTTAAAATAAAGCAAAATATTGATGGTGATATAAAAAAGTATAAGGTTTGGTTAGTGGTTAAAGGATACTGTAATATCCCATATCGGTAAGTGAGAACTTAGGGGAAGATGTTATATGAGCACGCTCACCTTGACTAATAAGATATTTTGAGGCTATACGTGACTGTTAATAACAAATTTGTGAGGTTCTTACTAGTGGATTGGAGTATTATATTTGATATCAGAGCCCGACTCACACACCAAAGTGTTGCGTCGACCATTGATACAAATTTATTTAATTTATTTATTTTACTTTTTACCTTTAATATTTAGTTTGTTATAATTGGACCTTTTATTTTATTTTAATGTGGCTTCCATAGTTTTATACCATCGTATATCAATGTTGTAAGTTTTACAGAATAATCATAGTTGGTTTAAGTCAATTTGGTGTGCTGTTATTTTATTATTTTAAAAAAATCTGTAAAAAATATTTTAGTTAATATAAATTAAGTTTTTTACTTTCTAATGTTTTTAGTTTTTTAGATTGAAAAGAAAAAAAAGACTCATGACATAAGCATCAGAAATAGAAGAAGAAAAACCTAGTCTTTTCTATTAGGTGATTAGAAAAGAAAAATCACCTAAGCTGCATTGATACCTTAATTAATAAGAAACTAATAGCTAACAGCTAATGCCAAACGGCAGAGCTTCATTTTCAAGTTTGAATTGAAGGTAAAGAAACTGATAATCTGTCAACCTCTTATGGCTACCGCTTGTTCACTAACCACCGCTACAGCATTGTTATCTCGCCTCCCCTTTCTTGAATTCACACCTTGTACCTCATCCTCTTCACATCGAAAACCGAACCGTTTATGTTTCCATTCCAGAACTAAAGGTTTTGTTTAATTATTTATGACTCTCAGCTAGAAGAACACCCCAAGCAACAAAATCTTGTAAGACCGTCACCGTTTCATGCTTTAAACAACAATCCCATATCCTTAATCTTTAATTCTCCTGAAACCCAGTAAGAATGATTGATGCAGATCATTTTCTTTCCTGTTTCTTGAAACATATTAGTTCTCTTTTTTCCTTATTAGCGCCTATTGTTTCCTATATGTTCTGACAATTAAATGCTTCTAACAGTAATTGGGGCACTGAAAGTGATCCTGGGTTCAAATATCACAACGGAAATTCAGAACCTCGTTGCTTTGGTATGTAAGATCTTATGATTCAGGTGGAATTTGTCAATATATGTAATACATGTAATTTCCAACTTCAATACTGTTTTCATCCATCACATAGTGTTGACTGATGATTTTGATTTTCTGATTTCTGGGACTGTGTACTACTTGAATGCAATTTGGCTGGTAAAACTTTCTGAGAATGCATTTATTTTTACCACCATCCTCCTATCAGCTTGATTATTTAAAGGAAAAGTACATTTTAATTGATGAGTGCATAGTAAGGCATGTTTTTATTGTGAAATTCAATGCGCTGTGACTTTGTATACACCTTTATTGTACGAGAACAGTGAGACAAAGATATATGGAGTTTACTTGAGAAAGCTATCAGTGCAGTTTGGGTTTCTCTCGGGACTGGTTTTTTATGTTGTTATTGGTGGTTTTTTAATAGGAATGGAGCACAAGATGTGAACAAGATATTTATCGGTGCCTTATAAGGCCTCTTAGGATCACAAAATCAATGTCATGTTAGCAAAATGCTTTTAAGTTGGATGAATATGGTTGGCAACAATGCTATAATATATGCTTTGAAATTCATATTCATAGTGTCTCTCTGATAATTGATTCCATCAAATTTGAGTCATCGATAACCCAAAGTTTAAAAGCTTTTCACTTTTCCTTGAAGAAATGTTAAAGCATAAACTGATAAACTTAAATGAAGAGTAGGTGAATGCAATCCTGCACCCTAAAGGATCATAATGAAGCCCTGGAACAGAAAGGATTTCTTTCCTGTCAATACAGGTTGTGACAAGAGCTTTTGATTGCTTCAAGTAGGCATGGCTCAAATTAAGCTGTTATGTTTTTACAGTTTAGTTTCTATATGATATAAGAAAGGGTGCAAATCCTCAGAACACACTGCTCTTTGTGTCAATATTTATTTGACTCTCCTAATTAGATATCATGCAAGATCTGTTTTCTTTAGATGTATGTTGCTGTATTTGTAGAGGATGATTATCCCAAGCAAGAAGTAATTTTTATATCAGGTGCAAATCCTCAAAACACACTGCTCTTTGTGTAAATATTTCTTTGACTCTCATAATTAGATATCATACAAGATTAGTTTTTTGTTTTCTTTATGTGTATGTTACCGTATTTGTAAAGGATGATTATCCCAAGCAAGAAGTAACATGTACAGTTTCTGTTTGCATTTCAGGAAATATTGGTATTACTGTTGATGACACATACAAGGCTTGCGAGAGATTTGAACGCCTAGGTGTGGAGTTTGTGAAAAAACCTAACGATGGTAAGACACCTCTGTTAGATAATAAAATAGTTTAGCCCTTAATTAATACGAGCATCTCGCACATTGTTGGTGTTAGTTTATGTTCGATGGATTGATCAGGTTAAATTGTTTGCTATTTGGCAAGATAAAATCAATGTTAATCTTGGGCATGGGTTATGTCCTATACATGACATCAATCAATGGTTTAACCTGCAAGTTGTTCTGTGCAAACTTTCTCTATATTAATTTGATATAAAAGGTAACATTCTGGATGATGCACCCATCTGCCTCTTGTGCTGACGCACATATTGGTGGCTGTTACTTCTGCCCTCATACCTCTGCAGTTGTCTTTATATGTATCTCCTGACTAATCCATAGTCCAAGGAAGGGAATTGATACGAATATTCTCTATTTAGTTTGAATTTAACTGATAAGTGTTATGATTGCTTGGCTGGAGCAGGACCATCTCCAAAACACTACCTTAGTTTAGTAATGTGGTTGGAAGTGCTTTTTGGTGTGCTTTTCAATGGTTTTGACATCCTCAACTTAAAAGCATCTAAAAGGTACCCAAAAAAGCATTAATGTGGTGCCTTTTTAACTGATAAGCACTTCCAATGGTGTCACCAAACACAAATTTACTAATGTTTAACCCAGTTTATCTTTGCTTGTCCAGTTGTATTTTATTTTCCTCTTTTCCTTATCATAGGCCAAAAAAACTATTGCATCAATGACTTAATATGATCTGGAAAATAGTTGTTTTATTTGGGTTTATGGTGCAACATAGGCATTTATATTACCATCGGTTCATCATTTAATTTATATGTTATAATTACTTGCCTAAGATCTGTGAGTCTGGTTGCTGGAAAAATGAAAGGGATAGCATTCATCAAGGATCCTGATGGCTATTGGACTGAAATCTTCGATCTCAAGACTATTGGAAAAGTAACTGGAACCGCTGCTTGAAATCATGTGAGTCACTACAGCTTTTGTTGTTGTTGTTGTTGATGATGATTTATTCTTATTTGTCTTCCATCTTCATTAGATTGGCAACGTAATCAAATTTTTACTGTTACTGTTCAAGATGCAAAATTGTGTTCATATATACTCACAGACAGTCATTAGTATCTACACATTTCATCGGTGATAGACATCTTTATAGTTAGTGTGCAAGTCCCAGTTGAAGACCGTATCACCTCTGACTTATTTGGAATTGTAAAGACTCGAGTGTGTACTGGTTAAGAGTTTGTGAGATGAAAGAAGTGGTGAAATGTTCTCTGGCTAATTGCTAATTGTTAGGGTGCTTGGTTGTATTACCGTATAAATTTTATGAAATATTATTGTGATGGTGGGTGGCCATTGCTTTATTCATTTTAACCTCCATATAATCTTTACCCTGCTAGGCAACGTTGAACCACTGTTGGGAATCAAGAGTCAACCTCCTTAACAAATGGAATGTCTAGCAGAGCTAAAAAGCTATGTGGTTTGCATGACTACACTGACCATCCTTCACCATCCAAGCATGCCTCTTGGCTTCTTCCATAGCTTCATTATTCTTGCATTTATGTTGTGTGTTGCTTACGCATTCTTTCGTGTCCCTTTTTGATGCTCCATATATTTTGAGATGCTTCAACAGTGGTACATGTTATACCTGTCTTGTTTCTAATATTCATGTATAATCTAGAGGGAGCCCCCATGAGAGTATGATGATTGTGCTGTCACATTTCTGGTCTCCAACAATTTATACTCCCTATGGTATCAAGTCTTGTATCTAGGTAATGTGTAAAGCAATACACTCTGATCTGCCGCCTCCTTAATGCACTCTCTTGGCTCAAGGCTCCCAAGCGGTGAGATCCCAGCTAGATTTAACTGGAATCTCTGCTGTGTGATCCAGCTCTTTTTTTCCCTTTTCTTCTCTCTTATGAGTTTTGGGTGTAAGGGTGGCCTGGCAGCACTTCATTTTGTTATCCATGTTTTCGGCGGTGATCATTTTGTGCAGGAAAGTGGGCATTTTGCAGTCTTCAAGATTTCTTTCTTCAAAAGATGCTGCAGAGTAAGACTTAAGTTTTGTTTTCAATGCACGCATCTCTTGTGATGGAGATGACCTATATTTTCGTTCAACATTTTTTTCATCGCCTACTCATTTTGTAGTTGAATTTAGGGTTTGGCACCCCGAAATGTACTAGGAATTGAAAATAAATGGCTAGGTTTTTGTGGCTTTTTTTTACTTCTTTAATATTTCTTAGGCGAAAGAGCGTATGTGTGAATTGGGGTTTGGAGGAAATATCATTTA